AACTGGATCCAATCCCCCAAATCCACACAGAAGTGTAAAGAGAGAACCAGCGCCACCAAAGTTGTTCTCTGACCTCCACGTGTGCACTAAGGTTTGCACACACACACACACACACACACACACACACACACACACGCACGCACGCACGCACGCACGCACGCACGCACACACGCGCACACACACACACCAATAATAAAATATAAAAAACAGGCTAGTATTGATCGTCCATCACTCTGGAGTGTTCTGGCTAAGCCTCTCTCTGGCTTCTCACCACAATAACTGCCCCTCTCCATGCCCATTGCTTTTCCACTTCTGACCAGGAGCTGTTTTCCTCTCCCAAATCCTCTCGTCAGAGCAGGTAAGATGCCAGAGCGCATCCTGGTGGACTGCAAAGTGTTACATTAACGAAGAATTGAGAGAGTGAGCGATACCTCTCCAGGGGGCTGGACAGGATCACCCTCAAAGCCACATCTCAGACCCTCTGATTGCTTTGCATTCCTACTAATGGACAACTGTTACAGATGGCCCGACCCAGCAGGGCAAGACAATGAATGAAGGCCTCCTTGTCATGCTTGGGTCTAGCCTGAAATTCACCTTTAGTTTGCCCTATGCATAAAACAAAGAGAATACAAAAAAGTAGACAAAGAGGTAATCCAATAGATATGCACCACTTAAGACCTACATCACTAATATTTTGTGATTTTTCAGGGGTCAGATTTATTCAGCGTTGCCTTAGGAAAAAAAAATAGTCTGGCATACAATATTTAAAATGTGGCTGGAGTTCAAGAGATAGGATGTCAGACAGTTATAAGCCGGAATGACCAAGGGATGCAGAATCCCTGCACGCTGTTTTAAGCAGTTGCTTAGCGACTGAGTTCCACAAGATGCTTTCACTTTGCAGAGTGCGATTACGTGACCTAGAGATGATGGGGTGGCCTGTAGAGTTGACAGGTTGTAATAAGGGGGGCTTTTGGTTTTGAAGGGTATTTTAGTGCTTAATAGCTAGACTTTCTGAAACACGTCTCTATTTTCTATTTACACCTCAAGAAGAAAAGAAAAACCTTCCATACAAAAGGGAAGGAGGAGAAGGTGGGAGAAAGGAAGAGAGTGTAAGTGGTTGCCTAGCTGAGGTACAGGGTTCCACAGACTGAAGCATCAGCCTTAGACTGATGGCAGCTGGTCTCTTGGTGTCAGCCAAGCTTGCTGCTGAGTTCTTCACAGAGCACACTGGTTCTCTTTACAGCAACTACTTGAAGCATCAAGTGTAAGTTTTCCTCCAGTTACAAACTGAGATCCTAGGAGTTGCTTAAGTTTGGCTATCAAATCAGAATTGAAACCCAGCAGGGTCTAGCTTCAGAACCTGGACCTTCAACCACTCTGAACTGCTTCCTTTACCTTGCCCGGACTCTGAGTGCACAAACGATGCCCAGGACCCTCAGGCCCAGGTCCTGGGTATTGGGACAGAGAAAGCCCTGGGCCAGCATATCTGAGTGGGAATGCAGTAGTCTGAAAGGACTCTACCTCTGCTCAGTAGCAAAATGTCTCCAGTTTGATGAAAGGTCAAAACAGTAAGGAAGAAAGCCGAGCTCTGACCGAGCTGAGCCCTTGTCTCAGCATCCTGAAAGCCAAGCCAGGTCCAAGGCCTTGACGTTGTCAGGAGACATCTCTAAACCTCTGACCTTCCTAAAAAGGAGGGTAGTCTGGGCAAACATCCTTCCTGGCTGTACATTAGAATCGCTTGAGGAGCTTTAGCAAAAAGCCAGTAACAAAGCATTATCCCACTCCTGCTTAGGATCGTGGAATGCCCAAGGTCAGAGCACCAGATTAATTGTAGGGAACAAAACACCAGTCACCCTCCTGCACAGAGCTAACAAGTCAGCAGGACTGGAAAAAATGTAAAGAGAAACTAATTGATTCATATAAATATCTACACACCCTCATACCATGGCTTCTGTATGCGTGGGCTCAAGAAATCATAGACTAAATATAGCCAGGAAGAAACTGAGGTTGTATTGAACACCCACAAGAATTCCTTCTTGCCATTGTTACTCAAACAGTATAAGACCTATTTACATGGCATTTACATGGTATAAGTATCACAAACATATTATAAATATAAACATGCATCTAGAGATGATTTAAAGTATAGAGGAAGACATGATTGACTATATACAAATACTACACCATTCTATACAGGCTTGAGAAATCTGAGGATTTTTGTATCCACAAGATATCCTGGAACCAACACCTGCCAGGCACTAAGGAATGGCTGTGTATATACAGCTTGTGGTAAGAGACATTGAGGGAAAGAAAAATGTCGTATGAGTTACGAAAGCAATGAGAGGAACTTGACAGTCAGTTTTCATACATGTCCACTGTGGTGATTTGAATGAGGAATGTCCCCATAGTCTTGGGCTTTCGACTACTTGGTCCTCAGCTGATGACACTGTTTGGGGGAAATTAGGAGGTGCAGCCTGCTGGAGGAAGCATGCCGCTGGGTGCTGGCTATGAGGCCTTGCAGTTCAAGCTCCTTTTTCTTGCTTGCATTTCCAGCTGTGAGTTTTCACCTTCCCGTTTGCTCCCTGTTGTCATGCCTCTGCTTCAGCATCACAGGTTCCTATCCCCCTGGAACCAGAAGCCAAAGCTGTCTCTTTTATCACAGCAACAGAAAAGTAACTAATGTGTCCATATACGTATGCAAGCTTATATTCTTATGGATGCATAATGTGGAGGCCCAAATTACTCAGGGTCAGAGAATCTGAGCTTGCTTTACCCAGCGGGGCTGCATGAGGGGATGATTTGACCACGGGTGTGGTTACCAGGTGTTTGGAAGGGTCTACACTTGGCTGTGTGACGTGCTTTGATCTTGCAAAGGGGAAGGTCTTTTGCCCCGCCCCTTGGCATTGGTATAGAAAGCCCTTTTGAATAAACGGAAAGGGCCGGTGGGTATTGACCCAGGCCCTCCGGAAGCTAACCTGTGTTTCTGTCTTTCTTCTCATCAGCTAGGTCTCTCGTTCTATCTAATCTTTCCTTAGCCCTCTCTCCTCCTCAGAAGAACCCTTGAAAAGGTGGGAACTGGCCTCCCACAGCATAAACAAATGATTTGTTTGAAGACCCCAAGCTGGAAAAGAAGGATGGAGACTGAGAAGATGTGTGTGTGTGTGGGGGGGGTGTTACTGCCTTTGGGGAGGTCAGCAGGAAGCCAGAGCAAGTGACAAGTCAAGCTAAGGGTTTTTATCTAAAGGACAAGAGTAGCCATTGAAGAGTTTAGTCATGGGACTCCACACATTCAGAGTTTATCGTTTAAAAATTGAGGGGAAAACCCACTGGGTTTAAACATAGGGAGTGATTTGGATGGGGCGCAGAGAGAAAGAACAATTACAAAGCTGTTGCAGGACTCCAGGGGAAGGTTCTGTTTCTTCATGATGCAAAATATCTGCAGAATTCTGGGTAGCGTGGAAAGCTAAATGGAGTAGGGGAGACATTTGGTAGAATGCAAGTGCCATGACTCACTTAAAGCCGGGGACATGCTTTATCCAGAGTTTTAGATGCGTGGGTCCTCTTTGCTGGAACACACGCTACTCTCTTCCTTCTGGATTTATTCCGCTCCCCACAAAAGCACACTGAGTTATCCTCTCCACTTCTGTTCTCCACTGTACCTCCTCTAGGATGCCACTGTTTGTGTATCTCTGCTTCAAGGCATAGGGTGGCATTCAACCTTGGGCTGCCCTTTCCCATCCCTGAAGGGCTCCCACTGTGCATTGGAGCATGGTTGGAGAAGCACACTAATTGTGCAGGAGTTGGCCAGGCATTGAATTTTTAGCTTTCTGTGCCCTGGTTAAGTGGCTGGTCCACTGGCCTCAGTCCATTTCCTAATGGATAGGGGTCAGCCGCACAAAGCCTCACTCTGACTGGCACTAATTACCACCTTTGAGAGTTTTCATTACCCTAGGCCCAGGACTGAAAGGGCAGCAGGAAAACAAACTTCTGCTTGCTCTCCTCGGGGTGCTCCCTGGTTTCTGATCATGCTCGCATTAGGGGCTAATGGGAAGCAGACCTGTTTGCCTTGCTGCTTCTAGAGCAGATGTTTCTTGGAGGAGTCCATTGCTTTGGGACCCCAATCCTCAGCTCAGGCCACGGCTGTGGTCACGGCAGAGCTCAGAGTGAGTAACTTCCCTCCCAAGCGTGCTCGCTCTCTGCACGCCACATTTTACCTCCAGTGTTGACAGACCCTGAAAGAGAGAGGACCCCCAGTGTGTGTCTCCGGCGCCTAAGCCCTCAGCTAGGCAGTGACTTAGCTCCCCTCAAAGCTAAGTCAGAAGAACAGCTCAAGGTCAAAGGCAAGCGTTCAGAAGAGAAAATACTGTATAGAGAGTAGAGTCAGTGTAGAAAGTGCAGGCCGGGAGTGACGGCACAATGCCTTTAATCCCAACACTCCAGGTGGATCTCTGTGAGTTCCAGGCCAGCCTAGTCTACACAGCAGACTAATTCCAGGACAGCCAGGACTGTCTACAGAGTCCCTGTCTCAGAAGGAGGAGGAGGGGGCGGGGGAGGCAAAGGGGAAGGGAAAGAAGAGGAGGAGGAGGAGGAGGAGGAGGAGGAGAAAAGAAATGGGGGGAGGAAGGAAGGAAGGAAAAGTGTGGTATGCAAAAATTCAGTTATTCATCATTCACATGGGATATTGGTCTCCGTTTGAGCCTCACAATATCTTGGTGAGTGACAAAGGGCAGACATTTGCCTTATTTTATAGATAAAGAGATAGAGCCCAGAGCCACTGGAGATTTGATCCCACAGTCATTTCTTGTAGATCTAGATCTCCATATTAAACTGTCTGGGGAGTTAATAAATTCGGTTTAAAAACCGTAAAGTACTGTTCAGATAGATTTGTATTAGCTTCCTAATGCTCAAATAGGAACTACCACAAACTGGATGGCTTAAAATCATAGGTTTAACTCTCCCAAAGTTCTCAAACCTCTGAACTCCGGGAGGCCCATTCTCACCAGTGAAAAATCAAGGGTGAAAGCGTCCTTTGCCTCTTCCAGCTTCCGGTGTCTATCACCATTTCTTCAGGTGGCTATTCCACGCATGCACATAGATCACGTGGTCACGTCCAGCTACGTGACTATTGGAACCATAGGGCATGGGTCACGCAGGACGGATGACCCAGAAATGACTAGGCAGAGACGACTAAGTCACCGGGCATGGCTGGAATTCTTATCAATTACCTCCCTATAACACAATGATAGCAATGCCCTGTCTCAGAGGACATTGCAAGGGTCAAACGACTTTGTTATATGCAAATTGCATAGAGCAGCATCTACACTACTGTGACTATTGGTCACAATTTGTCTTAGTACGTTTACTATTGCTGTGAGAAACACCATGACCGTAAGCAACTTGGAAAGGAAAGGCTTTATTTGCTGTGTACATGTCCTGTCATAATCCGTCACTGAGGGACGCCAAGGCAGGAACACTGAAACAGAGACCATGGAGGAATGCTGATTACCGGCTTGCTCCCTGTGGCTTGCTCCTCCCACCTTCTTGTGCCATCCAGGAGTGGCACTGCCCTCCGTGTGCCGGGCTCTCCCACATCAATCATTAATCAAGACGGATGTCCCACAGACTTACCTTCAGGCAGTCTGATGAAGGCATTTTCTCAATTGAGGTTCCTCTTCCCAGATGACTCAAGCTTATGTCAAGTTGACAAAGCATGAACCGGGACACAATTCTTCCTTGACACTATGACTAACACTAAGTCATTTCATTTCACTGTGTATCATTAAATAATGAGATTTGGATGAAGAGAGAATGGACTTTCTCTTCTGGAAGAGACACTTGAACCATGTACCCGTTGCCGGTTAGTTTTCTGAAATCAGCGATCGATAATGTATATAGGCAAAAGATAAACACTAGATACAATGAAAAAAAGCATTATTTACACCTCTTTTCCAGGGCTGGTGAGATGGCTCAGTGAGCTAAGACACTTGCTGTCAAGTCTGACAACCCGAATTCGGTCCCCAGGACCCACATGATGGAAGGAGAGATCGAACTTCCGCAAGTTGTCCTCTGACCTCCACACACGGGGTGGGTCTCTCTCTCTCTCTCTCTCTCTCTCTCTCTCTCTCTCTCTCTCTCTCTCTCACTCTCTCTCTGTGTGTGTGTCTCACACACACACACACACACACACACACCACGCAGGGTAATTTAAAAATAAATCTTCGAGTTTCTGTTTGACTCTGAAGTCTGTTGATTCTACAAGTTGGGTTTCTCTATTGAGTGCATGGAACAGTCCTGCAGACTGGGGGCTAATGTAGTATTAAGCAGGCAAGTTTTCATAGAAAGCAGGACTTTGAAAAGGACAGGCATTGAAACAAACTGTCACCAAATAGGATGACGTTCAGACCAAGTCACTGAGCTGTGTTGCTGTAGTTCAAGCCCGCGGCATGGCGAGGGTGGAGCTCCAGGGTCTCTTCTCATCTTTCCACCTGCACTAAACTCTGTTTTCCAGAGAACTTGTCCAGCTCTCCCCACCTTCATCTCTCCTGAGGAAACAAACATCCCTCCAATAGATGAAAGCCCAGTCTCAGAATGTTGGTGGTTTCACACCTGAATTTAAGCTCATTAGCACAAGCATCCTTCTGAGGGGAAACGGCAGCTCCGCTTTGGACTCTGTGCCTTTAACCACTGTGTGAGAAGAGCTGCTGAGAGACGGCCTGGCAGACTGCTGGATGCTGATGCTGCAGAACATTCCAGTGCTGGAGACAAACTGTCAGAGGCTCCGAACCTGAACTGTGACACTTAGGAATTTGTGTTCTCTTCAAGTGTGAGATAAAATCTTATTTAGAGACAATGAGTCAGCTGACTGTGTTGAGAAGTGATGTATGTATATGCACCTGCACCCATAAATACACAGATAAACACAAACGCCCCAACACAATTAATTATCTAATGATTAACTTTTTAAAAAAAGAGAGAAAGAAGATCCTAGCTGGGTGGGGTGCCTCATGCATATAATTCCAGCACTCAAGGAGCAGCAGAGATGGAAAGATTATTGTGAATTTGAGGACAGCCTGGGCTACAGAGGAAATAATAAAACAGCAACAGCAAAAGTAAACAAATAAATAAATGGAAGGAAGGACCTTATACAATCTAGCCTACAGAAAGCAAAGGCCACCGTAATGGCCATGGCCAGAGCAAGATAAAAACGGTGAGAAGGCTGCATGCCCCTGCCCCTGCCTGCTGCTGCCCACGCTGGGATGGGAGGCTGGAGCAAGCTGCCTTTCTGAAGCCAACTGGAGCCAGATGAAAGGACACCAAAGAGGGAAAGAGAATCACTCCCAAGTGCCCAGCTAGCCAGCCCCTTTCAAAGCTTCGGGACCTTCCCAGGCTCGCTCTAGTGTCCGGTTTATACTCTCTGCCTCCCTCGGGAATGCAGATGAATGCAAAGGAGTCAGAACCAGGACGGAGCTGAACTGGAATACCACAGGTCAGAGATCTGGTGCCAACGGGCTGTAGCGCAGCTGAGAATAAAAGCATCCCAGACCCCACAGCCATTTGGAGATTCCTAAAAGCCTCTCCAGAAAACAAAGCAAAACTCACTGTGGCTCCCAACATTGCAAAAAAAAAAAAAGAAAGAAAGAAAAGGAGACAGATGATCGCCATGTCCTGGCGGATGGATACCAATTATTAGACTCCACAGTACATTAAACTTGCTAACATTAAGTTCATTCAACAAAAGAGGAAGACTTGGAGGCTCCTGTGAGGCCTGACAGACCTGAGAGAGAATTCTGTTCAATTGTTAAAGTTTCTCAGCTCCAGGGGTCCCACCTGCCATCATCTTCAGGTGTACAACGATGGCCCCTCATCACAGGCAGGAATAACAGAGTGGTACACTTGGTAACGCCGAGCGATTGTGCGCAGAGTTACCGAGGAGAGGTTTCCACACTGATGAGAAGAAGAGTTATTAAGTCATGGGCAGAACCGGAATGTTTACAGAGCTCTGATGCTACATGCCTTTAAGCACGAATCAAAGCTAACCGATTCCAAAGCATCTGTAAGATTTTTGGTGTGATTTTTTTTGACTCTCCCTAAAAGGTTCTCAGTTGTTTACAAGGACAGTTTCTATTTTGGTTTTTCTCCATACCCATCCCCCTACCTACCCCCTTCAATTCTCTTCAGAGGAATCTCTTTATATGGTTTCATTACATCTTTATATTTAAATGCCCATTTGGAACTAACCATGGCGCTATCATTCCCTTGGTAGTTTGGTCAAGTCCTCCCTACTTTAGATGTGAGAACCCCCTTCTCTGAAGCGCATCACCGAGGGGAGGTACAAGCAGTGCCACTCAGGGTGGCGGTGGAGGGGACATAAGACTTAGTGCATCAGGAATCTTCTTGACAAGCTTTACTAGGCCTGAGTCCAAGATGAAGCTGAGAAAGATGAAAAAGGATTTGGCTGACAGAGCGGATGATAGACAGAGAGGGAGCTGTGAAAGGAAAAACGGGCCAATGGCAAAGGGGGGATTGGTAAAGAATTGGCACGGCTTTGTGAAACCCCTTGGTGGAAAACCATGAGCCCCGGCTTGTCCGTCTGGCGCATCATCCTAGGAGGCAAATCATTTTTGCCTGGGGAAGGTGCCTGCCAGGAAGCTGCCCCTCTGTGGGGGCCTTTGGAAAAGTGGATGTGTCTGGACGCCTGCCCAGCGCTGTGGATGGGGATGAGAAGAAAAGGCCCGCGGGGAGGTCTCTGATGGCTGAGATGGGGAGCACCCCGGTGGCTGACGCTTGTGAGTCAGAGCGATGGGAAGAAGGGGTTGAGAAACAGAGGAAAAGGACGTGGGGGCGGGAGGAGGTGGGAGGCCGCTTTGTTTCTTCAGTCTGGGTCTGTCACGGCCTGTCTCCTTCCTTGATGGGTCCCCTGCTTGGCATTACTCACCCATGTTTTCAAAACTCAAGTCTGTCTTCTTCCAGGTGAAGAATCTACTCTTGGTCTCACAAATGAGCAGTGACCTTGTGAGGAACCTCTTTCAGAAGTAAAATAATAGTAATAATAATAATAATAATAATCATCATCATCATCATCATCATCTATGGTTTTGTGTGCCACCCTGACAGGGAGGCCTTGGGACACAGCCAGGATTTCAGTGTCCTCTCCTTTCTTTCTAGAGGCCTTGCCACAGTGTTCTGCCTTTCTCTCCAGGTCATAGGAAAGCTTCGCTCTGGCCACCCCAGCTCCAGGCTTACCGCTCTATCTGCCCTTTCTACATGGGCTGGCTCCCCACCAGCTCTCCTTCCAAGACTCACCAGACAAACATCCTTCCCATAGATAACTGGCAAAGTTCATTAGAAAAATTCCTGCTGAATGGCAATGACTGGTAATAATTTGGGGTGATAACCTCCATCAAAAGATGATGTCTTCACCTGATGCCCCCTAACATTTTTCCATGCTTGGCACACATAGAAAATGATAATAATTTCACTACATACCATGATAAGCCAAAGCAGGAAGCAGCGGGCCCCGGGGAGGCTGAGCCACTCACAACCGCGATTCCCACTATTAAAGCCTGAGAGATCCTCCAGCTTCTGAAATCCTTTTGTGAGCACCCAGTTGGGAACCCCATACAGAAGAACCCATTCCTTCAGCTGTAATCTGCCACAGTATTGAGAAAAGCAGCTAATGCCCTTTGCTGTCTATGTGTTTGAAAAGAGAAAAGGGAGGAATACAAGATCTCAGATCAGTGTTTAGCTTAGTTGGTGTTTGCTTAGGTGACATTGTTTCAAAACTTTCAAGGTGAGATATAAGTTAACATAAACATAAATAAACTATTAATATACAAATATCAATACAAATGTATAAATATAAAAGGTGAAATAAAAATATAAATTATTTCAAGATTTGAATTATCCAATCTTAATTTTAAACTTCGTATTAAAATTAACTTTGAAGGAAGGGGGCGCTGGGAAGATGACTCAGTGGCTGAATGCTTATACTGCTCTTAGGAGAATCTGAGTTCCATCCTCAGCACCCAGGTCTGGTGCCTCACAACCTCCTGTAACTCCTCCAGCCTTAGGGGATTCAGTGCCCCCTTCTGGCCTCTGTGGCACCTGCACTCAAGTGCATT